GAGATTTTGGGAAGGAATCAGCAGTTGACTCTTGCTAAGCAACTGCATGCAGTTTTCCCAATGGTCTTCAGACAGAAAGGAGAAGAGAGATGAGTGGGGTTTGGGTAGCCCCAGACACTCCCATGCTTCTCAGATCCCTCAGATCCAGATGTTGCCAAGGAAACCCAGAAAGCCCAGTTTTCTGGAACAAAGTGCCAGAAATAGAGAAGGCCAAGGCAGCTGGACCTCACAGGAAGGCCAGCTCCTCTAAGAGGGAGAGGTTGGCCTCTTCCCAGGATCTGTGCCCTGGTTCTGCAGGGTCAGCATCCTGATTTGTCAAGTCCCTAGTTGGTTCTGAAGTGGTCCTGTGTTAAAGCATCTGAGGTGCTTGGTGGGAGGGCAGTGAGAGGGTGAGGAGAATGCAAAGCTGAATTCCCCTCGTGGTTCAAACAGACTCAGTTCGGACCATATGAAGCTGCCAATTTCCAATAGTTTTTCACTTAAAAATGGCACTTTCATATGGGACAATGTAATATAAGTAGAAATAAAGACAGAAAACCCCCTAAAAGTGCCCTTATGTCCAACCAAATAATTTAAAACTCTAGCTGGATAGATACCTAAGCACTATTCTCTGGGAATCCCGAGAAAAGGGAAAACGACTGGGAATGGCTCAAAGCTGAATTGTGACAGGCAGAGGACATCCTGACAGAGGGAAGGTGAGTACACTTGAGCCCACATCTCTGTCCATCCCTGAAGACCAAGATCTATTCCCAGACCCACAGCTGCAGGGGCTGAGTAATAATAAATCTTAATATTTGTGAGGCACTGTTCTAATGCTTCACAACTAAACTCATTTGACTCTTACTTCATGCCTAGGAGGGAGGAAGTTATTCCAGTTCTATACGTGGCAAAATGGAGACACAGAATGAGTCATTTGCCCAAGGTCACACAGCTAGTGGTAGAGCTGGGGTCTGGGCCCAGGCTGCGAGCTGTGGGTCTGTGCTCGTGTCCCCCTGGCATACGGTCCAGGGTGAGTGCAGCTGGCCTCTGGCCAGCACCTGGTTGCCCAGCCCCTCTCACTGAGCTCTCATCTGCTTTTGCTGGGTTACTGTATGGGCCTTGATTCTACCTTTGGACTACCTTCCTTGGGCTCCGAGATGAGGCCTTACATCCAGAGTGGGACTTGTTTTGAGAGTTTGGGATTCAGCAGAGCTGGACTATAAAGGATAAAAACTGGCTTTGTGCCAAGTCCTTGCTAGCCAGAAACCTGAAGTTTCAGTCCATAATCAATTATGTGACCTCAGGCTCATCACTTTCTACTTCTCAGAATGTCATCATTTGTAAAATGGATACATTTACCTTATTCTCTTTCAGATTTGAATTTGTAGAAATTTCTTTATTGATACAGCAAATTGTAGATATTTTTAAGTGACAGCAATTTTCTAATGTGTGATTTGTTTTAATAAAATATAAATACTGTCCCTTTTAACCATGTTCTTTATTGGGAGTTAATGATGCTTCAAGTACATAGCACCCAGGCCTGCACAGGCCTTCACTCACTTCCTATTCTTTCCACATCTTTCTTGCCATAGTCAGCTAGTCCCTAACTAAATATCTCCAGTGATGGGAAGTTCACTACTTCAGAAGATAACTCACTAAGTTCTTGTTTATGTGGAAACAAATCCTGACTCCCAGCTGTTCCTATCCAAGATAGTATTATGTAGCTTTTGGTATCTTTATTATCAATCTTTAGCAACACCGAAGCCATTTGTGGTCATCTACCAATTTTTAGAGATTTCAGGAACCCTCCCTTCCCTGTTGTAGCATCTCTTCTGTTTCTGCAATTCCATTTTATCAGGGAGCAGGAGACAGTGATGTCAGCCTAGTGGAGGCACAGCCTAGTAGAGGGGGCACACAGAGATGGCCCTGCACAGCCTGGGCCTGGTGGCCAGCGGAGTCCATACATGATGAAGGGACAGCCTGCTCAAGAAAGCAAGCTGTATATGACGGGGAGTAAGCATGAGAGTGGAGGGCCCAGGTCTGAGTCTACTATGTCCTGCTCAGAAGCCTTCCATAGTGGCCCACTGCCCATAGAACAAAGCCAATTTAGCAGGCTTTAAGCCCTTCCTTCCTTCTCCATGTGTCCACTCCCTGCCAAACCATCACTTGCTAGTCCTTGGGCACTCTGGGCATTTCCCAAGCCTGTGCCCCAAATCACATGATTCCTCCCTCAGTCACTTCTCAACCTGCAAGGTTGATTTAAAGTGCCACCTCTCCCAGGAGGCCTTCCCTGGCCAACACTCCTTTTCCCATCCCTACCCCTGTCTTGGCTCCTATGGTAAACATCTCAGTAATTCATACACATGGGACGCTGTGTGTAGAGGTGCCTGCACCCGACAGGCTGCGACCTCTCAGTCAGGGAACATGGGCTGCCACACTGTGGGCCCAGCACTGCACCCCCACCTGGTGGGTGTTCAGGAGTGTGTTCTAGACCTGAGCTTCCCAACTGGAATGGGCAAGAGGTGTGCCCAGATATCAGTCCTTTAGCCATCGGGGCAGCCTGGTGCAGCATGAGCCCAAGCAGCCCTGAAGTCTACCCACGCACGTCACACACGCTATCATTTCCTCTGCCTGTTCTAGAAAATGGCCCGTCTGATCAGTTCTCTCCAACATATTACTCAAAAGCCATTGAGTTAAGTTCTGTGAGCTCAGGGGCTCTTCCAACTCTCAGCTTCACCGATTCCTCCCCTCTGGGGGAATCCAGCTGGGGTTTGAGAAACAGCCTGGGCTCTTCTGACATTCCAGTCTGCCAGAGCCTGGAGGCGACCCACTGGTTCCCTGTTGGACAACCCCCCACTGTCCCACCCNATATGGGACAATGTAATATAAGTAGAAATAAAGACAGAAAACCCCCTAAAAGTGCCCTTATTTCCAGCCAAATAATTTAAAACTCTAGCTGGATAGACACCTAAGCACTATTCTCTGGGAATCCTGAGAAAAGGGAAAATGACTGGGAATGGCTCAAAGCTGAATTGTGACAGGCAGAGGACATCCTGACAGAGGGAAGGTGAGTACACTTGAGCCCACATCTCTGTCCAT